GTAAATCCGAAACATTAAAAGCCTCATAAACACTAAGCTTATTATTTTTGTATTAAAAATGACTTGATTTATTTGGTCTATGTTTGTTGTTTTCTTGTGTTTGAAAAGTTAATTTTAGTTTATTCGCAGCAACAAAAGCGTAATTTGAGCAAGTGTCATTTTAAATCGGGGGTCGATCAGACTTTTGGACCATGAACGGCCCAAAAGGATGATGGAAGTTCTGAAACATCGTCCAGCTGTCAGTCGCTGCAACAGATTCATAGAAGGTTCGATGAATTTGATCAACTCGTATGTAGATGATACCACGTTATATTCATTTAAAAATGTCCAGTTTCCCTCTTGATTATTTGATCAACTGCAATATTTAGCCAAGTTTTATGAATCGTTATCCAAAAGTCTCCTTTCTGGTAGAAATCATGAATGTTTTTTGGTGCTTTGTACCATGAAGCAAAAATATAAAGATTATAACCAAAGATTTGTATTTTGTTTAATATTGCTCATTTTGAAGTTTTTCATCCGTTTCGCTCTTTCAACAAATTTGCAGAAAGTCTGCATCAATCTTAAGCCTGCTGCCAAAATGATACCATCTTAAACTGCAGTTGCGGGCCACACCAGATCATTCCAAGGGCCGCAAATGGCCCCCAGGCCGCACTTTGCACACCCGTGCTCTCGAAGTTAATATGACAAGCTGTCTAGAGTGCTTTAAATAACTGAAAACATGGTATTTTTTGGCAAAATGATAAGTTTAATTTGACATTATTTTAATGTTTTTGCATTTCTGTATTTTTACGGTTATTCTAATTTTTTTCATTGTTCATTTTTATCAGTCTTTATCGTATTTTATTAGATGTAAAGCACTTTGTAACTTTGGTTTTAAAATGTGCTATATATAGGTAAAGATGAACTTACATAAGCTCATGAAATAGAACAGAAAAACTTAAAATGAGGGTGAGTTTAACAGCGAGAGCTCAAATCCTGTGCAGAATAACCCAAGGATGAAAGTCTTAACTGGGATTGTCTCACTGGAAAGTGAAGGAGGATGTTTTTCAACTGAAGCTGAAAATCTGGATAAAGTGATGGACAGCTTTGTCATTCATCCAGTCCTGATACACTGTGTGCATTCAGGCCTGCCATCAGTTTAACTTCAGCCTCGAAGCTTCGATCTCGGACATATTTACTCGTACTCCATGCTCGGCTTCAACCAGAGTCACAGTTGGTGAACAGTGGGGTGACATTTTGGGAAAAATGGATTATCTGAGCAGGACTTTAGGTCCGGTGGCTCCAATCCCACAAAAGCTGCAGAACTAAGTATTATTGACCTTTTGCTGCCGTTTCAACCCCTTAGCTCTTAAACAGTTTTAGTTTTCGGCTGCTTTTATTGACTGTAGATGCTCAACCATGGAGGTTAGCTTTAATCGAATCTTTCAGGAGCTCACTAACCTTCTTACTCCTGAACTGACAGTGTCTCCAGTCGACGTTAAACACAAGAAATCCAAACTGGAGCCAAAGGCTTGTTCATTCAGACTGTGGACAAGTTGAAAATAAACTTTGATAAAAATAATTATAGTTTTAATCTTGTCTATACCAATAATTACCACTGCAGGTTATTTTAAATATTCTAATTTATGTTTTAAACATAAGTATACACACACTTGATTCTTTTTTTTTTAATCAACTACCATAATTTTCGCTGTTTAAGTCTTTTTTTTTGTTGCATAAATTAGCATGCCTGCGATTTATACAATGAAGCAACTAATATCCCCCCCCCATATTTATAACCAATTTTTGGCTGAGATCTGACGATTTCATTCATTGACATGGAACATATTGAACACTACCATTTTCAGCCACCAGAGGGTCCTCGACACATATGGCAAGCCAAGTGTCTCATTAATAGGTAAAAGTGGCTATTAATGAGACACTTGGCTTGCCATACTAAGCCACCTTCGGCTCGCTTCGGAACTCCTGGAGCAAACGTCAAATCAGCTGCATTTTACTGCGCTGCCAAGGCAAAATGCAGCTGATTTGACCATTAAAGTGCATTTATTAAACATATTTGGACTGATGCGACTTATATGGTGGTAAGTACGGTAAGTCCTTGCTCAAGGGTTGTCAGTCATTGTGATACTGGTGTTTTTGTCCCTTCATTATACTCAGTTTGAGCCTGTATCTTTACTCATTTTAATCTACAGCCAAAAAAAAAACCATCCATTATACACATTGCCCCCTTCCTGTCCTCTAAAATACAATTTTGGGGGTTGTAGTTCTAATAATATATCTGCAGTTTCAGGCTGTGTTTGACCTGCTTTTAATGAGATATGAAGTAGCTCCTTAGAGAATAAAAAAGTTACATTTTCTTAAATTTTAAGGTAAAAAAAAATGGATAATATTAGGAATGAAATTATCAGAAAAGATTTATTAAGGAGTTTTTAAAGATCACTGTGCTCAGGTGCGTTCACACCTGCCTGCAGACATCACAGCTTCGCTTCTTGTAGACGTCTGAAGCTTTTTTTTTTTTTACAGGAGTTTAAGTCTCATTTAAAAGAAGTACATTTCAGATTTGTGGAGTTTTCTCAAAACTCTCTTGGGCCCACTTTTCTTACAATACAGTGATGGGGGTTTATAGAAAAAAGGAACTAATGTTTGAATGATCTGTTCCTCTGCCTTGCAAATTAAATGTTATATAAAAGAAACTACAGATTGACGGCAGCAATCCCATTAAAGCACAGATTCATTTCAGTTTCTTTCAGAAGTTAAAATAAAAAAAAGTTTAATTTTAGATGACCAGAACTTGTAGATGAGCTTGAAAGTTGTCTTCATATAATAATTTGTCTGTAAGAATCCTTGGTTTGTTCACTGAATGAAAAATATTTTAAAAAGTTGTACAAGAAAGATTTTCTGTCATCGGTTTGGGGCGATAATGTAATTGCCTTTGTGTCTCTCATGAAAATCTGAACAGATTTTTATGAAAGTAACCAGTTTCAGGATGGCTATAATAATCACTTTTGCAGATACCGAGCTAAAATTTAGCATGGTAGTAGCTGAGTGTCATCCTAACATTGTTTGAGTGTTTTAAATTTTATTTAATACTTTTAGCAAAGGTAAATTATTATGTCTTTAAAAAAATACTAACAAAAGTGCTCTTATTTTAGCTTACCTACATTATCAACTCTTTATATTTGGATGTTTGTCAGTAGATTTGTTGGTACCACTTTACAGTAAGGCTCCCCTTATAGATGTCTAATAAATAGTTTATAGATGTGTTATTAATCCCTCTAAAAACACTTTATAAATCATTAACAAGTGCTTATTAAGCATTAATTAAGGGTGACAGAGACAAAACTGACCAGTTTCTTGCCAAATAGTGAGCCACATCTGTTCACCTATATATTTCATCTAAAGTTGTTATATTAAACATTTCAGGCTAAGTTACTACCTTGTAAGCACAATAAACATTTGTAAACCTATTTTTTTTTTTTTTAGAATAGAATGTACTTTTTCATTGCATTATAAGTATCTACACTTTTAGGATATAATATTAGTTGTAGATACTTATAATGCAGTGATAAAGTACAATATTATAATATTACTGTATTATAACACAGTTTTGTCTCTCTGTCACCCTTAATTAAGGCATAGTAAACAGTTATTAATGTTTTATAAAGTGTTAATAGAGGAATTAATGTATCTATAAACTGTTTATAGCCATCTATAAGGGGAGCCTTATTGTAAAGTGGTACTGATTTTTTTATAGTTTGCAGCTGGAGCTCAACTCAGCTGCTTGTCTTTAACAGGAACAAGAACGTGTGATCACAAAACACCAGTGCTGGCCTCACTCCATCAGCTTCTCATTTCCTACAGTGATGCTTTTAGGATTAAACACTTGGGTTTTAAATGTTCTGGCTCCACCCTATCAAGTGGGCCTTATACATTTTGTCATTTAACAGATGTTTGATCTAAAACAACTTTTAAGTATATAAATCACACAGTGGATAAGCATGTCCAGAAGACAAGACCTTGACAAACACTGCAAGACAATCTGGAGACTTTCTTGCGAATGCTGTTTTAGTCATCCCAGTGAAAGACTCCCTTTAGGAATCAAACTACAAATCTTCCAATTGGAAGAAAATCACTTTATCCCTGAGCAGCATCATTACCACCAAATTATAATACTGAGGTTAACCAGATCACCTGTATCGTTTCAAGATCTGAACACGGAAATGAGATGATCTTGTCTTTGCAGTTGCTGCTTCGCATCCGTGGTACAACTTACAAATTCACATAAGAATTGCCCAGATCTTAAACTTTTAACCCACAGTTATATGAGGCAGTGTGGGGAGATAAAAAGCACACATAAGATGTATACTCAAAGTAAAGTGCAGAGGACCAGGGAGGACAAAAGAAGGCCAGAAGAACAGGATGCTGTTAGTAAACTGAAGAAGGATAAAAAAGGAGTTTAAAGTAAAGGAAAATAACAAAAGTAGCAACTTGTAAGAGCAAAGCATTACATGTAGGAGTTGTGGTTTTGTCTCTGGTGTTGTGTTTATGTCTGCGTTCCCCCTGATCCTCTGTTTCTCTTTATAGGGTATGTGTTTCTTTAGTATCTAGCCCCATCTTGTGTCATGTTCATGCCTTGCATCCTCTGACTCTTTCTCTGGCATCTGTGATTACTCACAGGTGCCTTCACTTGGTCTAACAGGAGTTTCCTGTATATGTCTGTCTCTGTGTTAATCCTTGTCCTGGCATTGTCATCTGTTCACTGATGATGACCCATCTGTATCGTGAGTACCCCCTGTTCATTCTGTGTTTGTTTTGCTTCCCTGTCAGCTCTTTTTGTTCTGTTAATAAAGTCTTTATTTTATATACATCTATCCTGAGTCCTTGCCTGTCTGCCTGCACCACTGGGTTCACCAGCACCAGCCAATTGTGATATTACAAAGTGATCAACCACAAAGCGGAGAAGAGCTGAGGCAGATAAGTAACAAATATCCCACTCTTACTGCTGCTTTCCTTCTCAAAGCTTGCATCTGTAAGAGCAGGAAGAGCTGCATCAGTGGGCATCTTGCTTCGCTCTCGTACTCTTCCCGTGGACGAGGCATCCGCAGCTCGTCGCTGCCTGTTCTTCTGGGCCTCGATGGCTTTCAGTTTCCGGGCATGCTTGTGACCTTTATAGTGGGCTTCCGCTTGGTTCTGGTGGAAAAATGAGAAACATTTAAAATACAGGTTAAAAGGAAGATGCAGAAAGGAATCAGTGTATTATCTGTTGGAAAGACTTGAGCCCACGTGCAATAAATGTTAAAATGCGCGCCTGAATATTCCCCCCTCTCGCAGGCATCCAGAGGCAAAAAGGAGGAGAGTCTGTTTCCACCTGATAACGGAGCTGGCACACTGGGAGGCCAGAGGTATAATTGCATGTGGAATATGCAACAAGGAAGAGGATTCCATCTCTACAACTACCCCATTAATGTGCACTGTGAGAGTCAGCCTCTGCAAAACCCAGGCAGGTTTGGCAATACATACTAATGTTACACACATTTGAGCCCTTGTGAGCACACAAACACAAACGAGACCCAAAACTCGTTCTGACTGACTGCACTTCAGTATAAAACCATGAATTTCCTTATCCGTGGATCTTGATTCACCTTTACATTCTCATCCTTTTCTTGACCTCGTTCAATTTGTGAACAAAAGCTTTGTTGTTAGACTAAGCAAGGATGAAGAAGAAAAATCAATAAACAGATCACTCATTAAAAGCTACACCAGCCTCTGGGGTTCAGCTCTCATCAGCTGCAGGGGAAGGAACATAATTATGGGTTTAAGAAGCAGAACAAGGACCCAAAAACATGGGAAAAAATTCTACAAAATCACTGCAAACTACAGCGAACGTTAAGTAATATTAGCAGTTTCATATATTTAATTAAAGGCCAAATATTCCTTGAAGGAATGTTTATCACCAGCTGTCTTCCAGGCCAGAGATTTAAACTAAACTCAGCTTATGATGAGAAGGATTAGAGTTAAAGCCATTTTGGTAAACCTTGAAAATGACGTGATCCTGCAACAAAACCTAACAAGAGTCCTGCATATAGCACACTATTGTCGACAAACTGTTATACCAGTTACAGTAGATAACAATGCAGCAAACTATAGCAATGGTTTGGATAAGCAAAGACCATGTATAACATTTGACCTTGATTTGTGACCTTAACTTTAAAGCTGTATATACAGTATAATATTATGCAACAAGCTGTCTATACGTGGTACAAAATTAATTAATTATTTTGCGTGGATCAGAAGTTATGGGCGGGACAAGAGACAGTTAACAGACGTACAGAGACTATAGCGTAATACATCCAATTTTCACTGAATATATAAAAATAACTCCCAGCTACTACCACTCCACACTTGTGTTGGACAATGTTGATTATCTGTGGTGACCATCTTAAATTGACGTGACTCAATTTAAGATGTGTTTTGTGTAAATTCCTAGTATTTCGTATAACACCAAACTATTTTTCTTTCACACATTTAAAAAATAGCCCAACAGCTACAGGCATGAAACACTTTGAATAAAACAACATGTCTGCGAAGGACTCCTCAGGGTGAAATTACGTGCAGAAATTAGATATGAGACGAGCAAAATACCCAAGATTTTGTTTCATGTGGTGCAAAAAGTTAATTTCCTCAAGTGTCTGAAAATTAACCAGTACATCAAGTCCCATGAGTGGTGGCGAAGAGGTTAGAGAGGGTGGGCCTGTGATCAGAAGATCGCCAGTTCAAGCCCTGGTACCGACAACATCAAAAATGTGGGTGGGGTAGGTGAAGCACCCACACCTGCCCCCACCCTCATTCGTCCCACTCTGGGCCCTTGAGCAAGGCCCTTAACCCCCACCATCTGCTCCTCCGGTTGTCCTAGATAGCAGCTCTCTGCTCCACACAGAGGGCTGTGTGAGAAATCACCTGATGGAATTGGATCAACCGGTGACTACCTCACCAGCGGCGTCTTCATCCAGCCGTCTTGGTGCAGGCTGAAGGACGAGGCATGAAATGAGCTTTGGTTCGTGGGGATACTGTTCTCTCTAAAGGGATTCAAGATTGTTCAGTCATTCAATTCAATTCAATTCAAAAATACTTTATTAATCCCAAAGGAAAATTAAGTGTTGTCGTAGCTCATCATCCTGGTTTCATTCAAGAGTTGCTAGATGCTGATAGGAAGGTTTTCCTGCAGTGAAGCCGAAGAATCTGGTCACAGATACGATCCGTCCACCCGGATCCAGCTTGATGTCAGATCCAGCGGGCGTCTCGGTCCTCCTGGGCAGCAGGACTGCCCGAATGTCGGGCAGAATTCCTCCCTGAGCGATGGTCGCTGCTCCCAGCAGTCTGCCGAGCTTCTCATCACCACAGACAGACAGCTCAAGGTGCCGGGAGATGATCCCGGTCCTCCCATTGTCACAAGCCGAGTTTCTCACCAGCTCCAGGATCTCGGTGGTCAGGTACTAGAGAACCGCCGCCAGGTTGACGGGAATTATCCATGGCACCTCCTTTTCAACTCATTTAGGATTTGGGGCTGTAGTTGAAGTATTGGAGCTTTGCGATGTTAATCAGCTGCTCCTGGTTGTTAAAAAAAAAAAAAAAACCTTGTTGCCATAGTTACGCATCATAACAAATGCCCAAAAGTATAAAGGTTTCAGTAAAAATCCTTCCAGCTGCACAGCATCTGATACCAGAGGAAGTAATCATCTGAAAAAAAAGTGATTTACATCCAGAATAAAAAGTGGAATTAAAGTTTTAAAAGCAATAACTCACAATGAAAGTAACAGAGCTACAGCCACCCCGAGCTGCACAATTCTAGAACAAATCAGGAAATCCCCGGGATAGAAGCAATATATGTTGCACGAACTGTAAATATACGCTGAGTGGGTGTTAACTTTGTTTTTTTTAGAGTGGAGAAAGCACTTGACTGTTGGAGGGAACTACAGTAGAAGTTATTGAGCCTTTTGGTTTGTTTATTCTGACAGATGCCTCATAAACTAAACAAAAATTAGCATTTATACCCAGTGTGTAAGAAAAATACACTAAAACCACATGAATCCATGAATCACGTCATCAAGTCGTCTAACAACATTTTATCTGAACAAAACAAGGATTATAGATACACAAAACATCCAAGCATGACGTTCTGTCTGCTTTTTTATCAACTCTACAGCTGCTTTTTTTTGTCTGTTGCTAAATTAAGCTTTGTCCAGATAATTTCCACAAGCTGTCAGATTACTAAACTCTCGATAATATTACTGAACAATTGACAATAACTTTGCACTAAGCCACATCTGTGATACCTATATGACTAATATTAGCTTGTAATGTTCTTATTGCTGCTGCATTATGTGGCTGCACTGTGTGTGTCACCACCTTACCATCATAATTCATCTCAATGTTACTCACTACCTGTGCACTAGGCTGTCACACATGTGTAGTTTATGTTAATGTGCAATATATATCATGTGCATTTTAGCTTATATTTCTACCTTGAAATATTATTCATACAAATTCATCCTGCTTGCACTGTTGTATTCTACCATGTTGTTGTTTACCATTTTCTCTTTAGGATCATGTAAATGTTATAATTACTTTTTCACTTTGTGGTACTTTATTTTGTACCCTTATTGCATGCTTTAGTATTTCTTGTTTGTTTGTTCTTTTTTTTTTTTTTAGCAGGTCAAATTGGTTCTTCTCATCCTGAACATTTCATTGTACTGTTAAACTTTTGTTAAACCTGCATTTGACTAAAAAACACAACTTGAACTTTTTTGTGCTCATTTCTGCTCCTTTCAACCCAATTGGTCCAACGCGTTGTTTCTGCTTTTTTATGCTAATTTAACCTTGTTCTATCTTTTCAATTACCTTCTTAGCATTTTTTAAGCTAATTTAGCTGTTTTCAGATCAATTCAAGTTTTTCATGGTAATTTCAGCTACTTTCAGACTAATTAACTTCTTTATGCTAATTTCAGCTTGTTATGCTACTTTCAGCTTTCTCTGCTATTTAATCTTTTTCTACCATTTCAGCTACTATTTAGCCATTTTGTGCTAAATTTAGCCTTTTCAGCTAGTTCCACATTTTTTTTTAGCTCCTTTCGGCTCCTTCCACTTCCTTCTGGTAATTTTAGCTTTTTTTTCTGCCTTTTCAGTTACTTTTCAGCTATCGTTTAGTTAATTTGAGCCTTTTTTTTTTAGCTTATTTACTTTAATTTCTGCTTCTTTAAACCTAATTCAGCAAACGTATTTCTGCTTTCTTCTGTTAGTTTACGCTTGTTCTTCCATTTCGGCTACACTTCAGCACATTTTAAGCTAATTTCAGCTGTTTTTCAGCAAGTTCTTCATCAACAAGCATTCACACTGCCGTTTTGCAGGAAATGCAATTTATCTTGTTTTAGGTACATTTACAGCAAACATTTCTTGTTATGTTTTTATGCATTTTGACATTATTGAGAAATAATCGTCCATATTATTCTGTATTTCCAGCACAGCACACCCATGATTCAAACTGAGTCGATTTGTAAAACCGAGCCAGCGTGTCAGCTTACTTGTTTTCCCTTCTGAACATTATTTATGAGGAGGAGTGTTCAGAATGCCTGAGTAAACTCCGATGAAGGTGTTTGAAAGTTAGAAAAGTATTCGAACTCTCTCAGAGACGGATAAAGCTGCAGTCACCCTGACACGTCGCCGTTCGGGGAAAAGGAGCAGGATTTACTCGTCGGTGTCTCGTTTCCCTCCTCAGCTCCATGTCTCCTGTGTCTTCGACCGTCTTTGAAGTTAAAAGTTCAAGTAAAAGTGTGTACCTGTGTGTGTTGAGACTAAAGATGTCTGAAAGCTTTCTGAACCATTACCACTTTGTTTTGTATGAATATGCATGAAAACGCTATGGGATGTTTTCCTGCCTGTGGATGCGTACAGTATGTGACGCTTGCTGTGAAAAGGATGGCAGGAATGGATGGTTGAGCAGAGAATCCACCTCCTGCTGAGGCTGCTGATTGTTTCTGCACTTCACTGATAAATGGAAGCTCCCCCTGCTGTCTAATCCCTCGCAATAAAACAACTCATACTCTCACATACTGTATATGGAATATAGGAAAAGAAAAACAAAGCTAACTCTTAAAAGCATTACACAAAATGGTCCATACTTATATATGATGCATTTTAAACCTCATCCAGTTTCCACAGAGTGACTCACAGCACGTTGCTCATTCACACAAACACGTAGAGCACTACAGAACAAAAGACGCTACCAGTTTACTGTTACAGACCAATTAGTTCAAGTGCAAGAATCTTTATTATCCCCAAGGGACAATTTGTTTCACAGTCAGTAGACACACAAAACATCCATACAAGACCGTGAGACATTAAAATAACAGAAATCATCACTGATCGATGAGAAGCCTGATCTCTACAGGGATGAATGAGTTTATCAGTCTTTGCGTCCTACATCTGGACAGCAGATACCTGCGTCCAGATGGAAGCAGTCTGAGCTAGAGTTGTCATTCCTAACTCCAACCCGGAGCCCAGACCCGCCCGACCCGGATTAGGGCTGGGCCATAATAATGTACTTAATGTGCGGGTCGGTGTCAGGCTTTTGATTGCGTCGGCAAACGTGTGCGACTAACGATCTAATTATATGGCAACATGGGTTGCCATACCTTCACCAGCCGCACGTGGTCATTTCACTGCGTGCTGACCAGCCTTGAAAGAGGTAAAAAGTTCAGTTAAGCTTCAGATGGACCACTGCCAGAGATCCATCAGCCCAAATGGACGTTCAATCAGCCGCTGCACTCGGCGGACGCGCGTGGCCGCCGAACCATTGACCAAACAGGTGAGATCACACAATATCTGACATGTCAGAGCAGGGTCCGTGTTTGAATAATGCAGAATGCAGCAGAAGCAAGGATTTAATGCGCTTTGACGGCCATGAAAAGAAAAACACCCCCTCAGCTCCGATCTTCGGCCCCCCTTACTCAGCCGCGCGTCCACCGACAGTTAATAACTATATAAGCAAAGCTTAATTAAAGATGTTGGGTTTTTTCAGGTTCAGACCTGTAATTACTGTTAATTGGTAGGGCTGGGTTTGGAAATGATGGTTACGGGCTTTTTTGGGCCCGAATGCAACTCTGACCTGAGCTCACCATGGAGTGGGTGATCAGGATCTGCCAGAATCGGCCTGGCCTTGGTCACTGACCTCACCTTGTGTAGGTCAGTGAGGTTCTGTAGGGCTATGCCTACAGTATAATTAGCAGTACAATTATGTACTGTAGTAAATGTATTTGATTTCTTTCAAAAACTAAAACACAGCTTATAAAAAAAATAAAACAAAATGAATAGTCTGGCATTCCTTTAAGAAATGGAAATCGCCCACTTCCTGTCATGGCAGATCATCTCATGTTGAGAAAGACCGTTTAAAGTGTTTTGGTCAAACCTTGAAAAAAAAAAACGCTTCATGATAAATTGTGAAATGTCAGTCACAGCCTGTGTTGTGAATGACTCTCAGCTACTATCTCAACAAAATTTAGCTCAGTGTCAGAAAAGTTCAATGAGTTGTAGCCACTTGTGCAAAATTCCCTAAAGTTGAATAGCTGCAATAATCATCTTGAACTGAGGTGACTCCAAAAGTTGATCTGTTATAGAAGTACATCTATTACTTTTATACATTTGATCAAAATCCATGCAGCGGTTCATGAGATATTTTGCTAACAAACAGACTGGGATGCCAACAGTTAATGCTAAAGTTTTAAACAAAGACCTTATGCAATGTGAAGCCCTCAGATTACGTGTTGGGGATGATGCTCAGCTACAAGTCCACTAAAATTTAACTTAATTAAAAGTTAGTAAAAGTGGCTGAGTTGCAAATCCGTCCAGTTGCTCATGAAATATTTTGCTAACAGTGAGTTCAGTGGCTAATGTCAAAACAGATCCTGTCTCTTACCGCCCTTCACTTCTGGTGAAGACAAGCATTCAAGAAAATGACAGATGTTCCAAATACAGCTGTTCCATGAGGGTATGTTCACGTTTTGGTAACAAAATGTATTTTGTTGTAAATTGCAGAGAAACATATTTTGTCATCTTCTTTCTTTTAACGTCCTAAATCTTTTTTTTTTCCCCACCACAAGGCCAACGAGGCCTTTTTCTTACCGTGGAGTTAAAGCGCAGGTGACAAATGTTGCAGGAGATGATCTGTTTCTTCTTGAGGGGCTGAGGGACACCAAACGTGTGGTTGATCACTGCCTTCTGGACCGGGTCCATCTGTGAGATCGAGAGAAGACGCAACACAAAACATGTTACTTCTACCGGACGCAAGTTTAAAACCAGGTGGAAAACCAACACCGGCCTGAGAGATGGATTATTTATTTCCACCCAACAATGTGACCGTACGCCTTACTGATACTGGTGTTTTTAGAACTATTAATCAAATTAAAGACTAAAGACTAAATAAACTCGTCTCAAATCTCATAATGCATGTGTTAAGTTGATCACTGATTGTAACTGTATAAGATCAGACGTCAAACTGGATCATCTGAAGGTTCTTTCAGCATCTTTGTGTGCAGTTTTTCTACGTTTAATGCAATAAAACTGCGTAATGACCTCCCTTCAACGTAATAGTGTGAATGTTTATGAAGCGTTCACACTATTGTGATCCATTTTTCTTCTGTACGTTTTTGGGCACAATTCTCGTCCCACAATTTTTGTGCCATTTCAACAAATCGTAAATCAAAATGTTCAGCTCTTTCAGGACAATCCTGCTACTGAATTACTTTTGGTACTGGTGCAACTTTAGCTTTTCAAAATATTTAGCCTTTTTGGCTACTATTTTCCTCATAGAAAATTAAATGAGCTAATTTTACTGCTTTTTTTCAGCTTCCTTGTGCAAATTTAAACGTTTTCAACTACTTTCAGTTAATTTAAGCATTTTTTGTGCTCCTTTCAAATTATTTTTGCTAACTAAAACATTTTTTGTGCTTCTTCTAACTTCTTCCTGCTAATTTCAGCTTGTTATGCTCCACTCAGCTTATTTCTGCTCGTTTCAGCTTTTCCTGTTTTTTCAGCTACGATTTAGTTGTTTTTATGCAAATTTGAGCTTTTTCAGATATTTCCATATATTTTGTGCTCATTTTAACTTTTTTCATCCCAGTTCAGCAGAAATGTGCTCTCTCCACTTCCTTCTTGTAATTTAAGCTTCTTGCTGCCTTTTTAGCTACTATTCAGCTTTTCTTTTGCGAAGTTCAGTTTTGCTCAGATAATTTTCACTGTTTTGTGCTCATTACAGCTTCTTTCAGCCTAACTGGGCAAACGTCTTTCTGTTTTCTTCTGCTAATTTAAGCTTGTTCTACCTTTTCAACTACAATTTAATTTTTTTTAAAGCATTTTAGCTCAGTTCAGCTGTTGTCAGACCAATTTAAGTTTTCATGGTAATTTCTGCTATTTTAAGCCTAATTAACTTCTTTATGCTAATTTCTACTTGTTATGCTCCTTTCAGCTTTTTTCTAGTTTCAGCTTTTTTCTAGTTTCAGCTACTATTTAGCTGTTTTTTGTTAATTCCATTTTTTGTTGTTGTTGCTCATTTCAGCTTTTTTCGCTTCCTTCTGGTAGTTTAACCTCCTAAGACATGAACTCTTGTGTATGTGGATGCCAGGTCCTTTAGCCTTTTCAGCAACTTTTCAGCTATATTTTGCTAATTTAGGCCTTTTCAGCTAAATTCCTAGTCCCCCCCCCCCCCACACACACACATTTCTGCTTATTTAAACCTAATTCAGCAAATATAGCTACTTTCTGCTTTCTTCTTCTAATTTAGGCTTGTTCTTCCACTTCAGTTATGTTACAGCATATTTTTAAACTAATTTCAGCAGTTTTTCAGCAAGTTTTTCTGCAATAAGCATTCACACTGCATTTTTGCAGGAAATGCTATTTCTCTAGTTATTATTTAAATGCTAAGGCGGATATAATATCCAACTAGCCTAATGTGCTATGTACCCATTAATCTGATATTTACTTTGCTCAGCCAATGCCGTTATGTCTTTCCTGCATGTTGGTTTTACAAAAACTCAACGTCTTTGTTTAAACTGGCTAAGAATAAAAGCAAAGAACACGGGACTGGGTTTGTGGACATCTGTACGTGTAAAACAAGAGCTGCACTCAATGAATTGAATTTAGGCGTTATCTCACTAGGCTGCAGCTGTTGGAGACCAGCAGCTCAAAATGGTGTGAAAAGGTGGATTTCCATTACAGTCTCAGTGAATTTGAAGTGTTTACAACCAGCAGGCTGTGCAGCGGCCAGCTTCTGAAAATCACAGACTACGACTGTGAACACTTCTTGTAAAACTGGATCTGTTTGCCGTGCAGATTACTTGGTTCTCCACCTCAGCTTGCTCACTACACAACTTGGCAGCTTTCCACGCGTTTATGACAATCTACCTGAGCACAGATTTAAAATGAAGATGGGCAGATCTGAACCAGTTAGAACCAGTTTATTAAATATTATTATTTATCATCGATGTGGTTTTAGGACGTGGACATTCGGGGCTGTAGCCTCAGGTGTTTGGTATAGCTGAGCTCTTATGCAGGTTGGTTCAGTGTGCACATAAAAATGGGCCATGAAAGAACTGGCAGCACAAAACTTGTTGGTCGTTTGGTGGAAAAAACCCTGAAAATTCAAGGAGTGCAACAAACATTTTTATATTTTATTGTAATTCTGAGCCGGCAAGTACCGGTACCATCCGTTGCAGCTCAGTGAGATATTATCTCATTGCGCCGCTCAAGGTGCAATGCAATGCAAGACATGTTGGAGTAGCTCTTTACTCCTCTTCTTTCAGGATCTCCTCTGTTTTCTGAATGGCTTTTTAAAAAATGAGTATTTCCTCTGGTATCGGATGCTGCACAGCTGGAAGGATTTTTACTGAAACCTTTTTACTTTTGGACATTTGTTATGATGCATAACCATAAAAACAAGTTTTTTTTTTTTTTACAACCTGGAGCAGCTGACTAACAAATTAAAAACTCAAATAATACCTCAACTACAGCTGGGAAACAAGTTGGATGAACTCCAAGCCCTAACAAGGATCCATCCCAATGTAGCAGGAATGCAGTGTTACGTGTTTCACTGAGACATGGCTGCAGGATCACATCCCCGACTCCAGCGTTTTCCTGCCAGGCTTTCTGATCCTACGAGCAGATAGAGATTTAAAGAGGAGTGGCAAAAACAAAGGAGTCCAGATGCTGAACAGTTAGCACGACTCGCGACAAGAAGAAGACCAGGATCATGTCCCACGCCTGCAGCTGGCTGTTCGCAATGAGGAGGAGCTCAACAAGCTCGAGGAGTGACCATCATTCAGGGAGGTGTTCTACCCAACGTTCAGGCGGTCCTGCTGCCCAAGAAGTCCAAGAGAACGCTTTAACATCTGCAACCAGTTTCTTCAGATCCGCTGTAAGACGGACCGCTACAAGAGATCCTTCCTGCCCATCAGCATCTAGAACAACTCTTTAATGAAGTACTTTGAATTGAATTGAATCTTGAGTTGTTGTTGCCCACAGCCTCTCAGAGCACCAACTAAACGACTGTCGTCACCAGTTTGGAACAAATTTTTGTTGTTTTATTTCACATTTATACAAGTTTGGACAACAGTTTCAATGTTTTATTACTGCTGTAGATTTATTTAAAACTTGTTAATATATGCCAGGTTGCTTGCCTATAATTTTACTTCTAAAAACAAAGTTCATTGCGCGTGCTGGTCATTAAAAGGCCACATTCTTCCTCTTTTTAGTGACTCGTTGGGATTTTCCGCTTTAATTTAAAACAGATTTTGTAGCTTTTTTTCAGATAATCTGACATCTGTTCAGAAAGCACTTGAACACAAGTGAATTAGATGTTTTTCCACCGGCGCACGAATCAATCTGACAAGTTCACATTGTAAAGAGGCTGCTTTCACTAAATAACGTGAAATGCCCCGAACGTCACTCACGATCCAACAACGTCAAGATATTTCTGCTCTGGGGTCGCCCTGCATGCACACGGAGCATCAAAAGCCCCTCGTCTGGTAATTACATAGCATCAAACACAGCAATGAAAACAATAGAGTCACGCCAAACATGCACAGATGATCTTTCAGTGACAGGTGAACAGTTTTAGGCGTAAATCTGAAAGAAGTGAAAACTTGACTGTTAATCAGGATGTCACCTCAACGTCTGATGGGACGGGAGCATCTTCGCTCCTCTCTTCAGTGATTGTGATGACTAGCTTTAGGGGATTTTCCTGATCATCGATGCCTCTTTCGCCCACATGCACACATCATCATCACTACCAGCGGCTGTATTTGTTTTAGACGCTCATTAAAAAGCAAACTTTCCCTTCTGCTGCTCTTATATGTTTCTTTTCTCAGTATTTTTTTCTCAGTCAAAGTAATAATTACCTTCTGATAGTCTTCCTTTCAGTTTTAATGTCAGAGACAGGCAGGCTTTACAACATTTTCCTAAAATTATGCTGTTGTGAAAACAATAAATATGTGAGGCAACAATAGTTCTCCTTGTACAAATAATTATTTAAATAATTCACTAACTGAATTTTGCACGTCTCAGTATCTTGCATAATAAATGTAATTTAATCACTTATTTTTATAATTACTTTTCTTGCTATAACTTTGTGTTTTCTGCTTCCTCTCCAAATGCATTCCAGAAAAATGTGTCAGCATTTCATATTATGTACACATATCAATTATTAACAGTTACTGAGGTTTACTTTCTGCTCAGAAATGTGTTGATATATTCATCTGCTAATAAAATATATATTGGGAATATGAGGAGTTTTAAATAAAATTAAAGGCTTAGAACTCCTTGAAGGAAACCTGCCATGTTTCAAGCCAGGTTTAAACTAGGAATGCCTTAAGTTGAAATTTCATGCTCAGTCTATGTGTGTGAATGATGCTCAGCTACTACTACACCAAATGTTAGCTCAATATCTGTAAAACTGACATACTTTCAGCCATTTTTATGGTTGCTAAGGTCAATTAGCTGTTGCAGCTTTTTCTAGTTGAGTTGTCTCCAAAGGTAATATGTAATAAATGTACATCCAATCATTACTTTGAGTTTTGTTAAAATGTGTCCACTTGTTCATGAGATACTTTACTAACATACACCTGAATACAAACCAGGGCTGAATTTGTAAACCAAATGATGCCGTAACGCAAATAGCAGGGATGGGTCTGGGGGTTCTCTCACAGAAATTTTTTTTAATAAAGTAGAGGCCATTTCCTGCA